TATAGACATTCCCTTATATAACCTATAGGTTTTTAATATGAAATTTTGCTTTGCCTTGCTCGCAGCTTTGGATACATTTACAACTATTGTGAGTGAGCCAAGAAGGTCTTACAGTAGGTAGCTAAAATTTTGTTATGCATACGTTTTTGTCAAAATTATTCATATTATCCTATTCTAATTATATCATTTCAAATTATGTTGAAATAACAGGGTTCTTTTCTGCATTTAATGACTACTCATTAATTTTGAGTAAAAAGTATCGATTATTGTATAATATCCCATCAATATTTTACGCCAGGGTGACGGGCTGCCTATAATTGATTAAATTTTCGATGTATAAATTCAAAAATACAATTGGGCTACTTATTATGTCGCTGGCTGATATAATTCTAGACTTATTTTTCACTTTACGAATAAAATCTTTTATAAGGCCTAGTTCTTGATTAATTTCTCTACTGTGTTAATATTTACATATTATTGTTAAAATCTCAATCTGAGACTGAGCTTATCGGTATTTGTGGCTATCATTATATCAAAGCGGATTGTTTCTTTAGGTGCTGACCAAAGACTCCGTGACTGTAGCTGTCGATGCTGTTGTCTACTACCGCATATATAACCCAGTTGTTGCCGTGACAAATGTAGAGGATGCAGACAGATCTACTCGCCTTTTAGCAGCTACCACTCTGCGAAATGTTTTGGGCACCAAAAATCTCTCAGAGATCCTTTCTGAACGAGAGTCAATTTCTAACATGATGCAGGTAGGTAAAATAAGTTCCTCTTATTTTCCATATATTTGGTTGATATAGTCATTGCAAAATGTCCAATATCCTAAAAGTTTGACACAATACTCTCCAAAGTTCTGTCAAAAAAGCATTCTTATTTAATTACGTTTTTCGCTAAAATTTAAAACTCATCCAATTAGTTGCTTTTGCCTTTACTAGTCTTTTCAGAAATGATTCCCAATTTGCTTCTGACAAAAATGAGCGTTTGGTGTAAAAATTCGCCATATATTAAAATGCAAAGCCGAGGTCTTATTTTTGGTGGGATAGGGTTAGGATATATCAAAACTCGTTAAATAAGATTTGTAGTCATTCTAGATTCCTGGAATTGTTTTAAGGACTGATAGTGTAACTTTCCATAAAACAATAAGGTCTTACAACGACGTTGAATTTTACTCATTCTTGTCTCCCTAAAAGTTTTCACCAGCAGGCTCAATTACAGTTTCACCTTTCGCGACCTATGATGGCTAGCTTTCTGTTTAAGTATAGCCACTCGATTAGAATCATATTCTCATGTGAAATAAAAGAATTCATTTTTAGATTGCCTCATTAAAAACCCACTATCTATGCGATATGCTTGGGCTATTGCTTAGATTGAACGTTGCATAGGTCTTGAAATCCAATGCA